TCCATGTTTTACGTCCGTATCGAATGCGAAGGAGTACTATGATGCAGTCATTGTGCACTATTCCACTCCTTCCTCTGCCTCTACCGGCCGCTTGATCCTCCCGATGCTATTCCCTGATCTTGCGTCCTTCCCCATTGTCGGTGATCTTGCTACTCATCTCCGTGCACCAGAGACTAGCTACCGCACAGCTAGCACTGAGCTCGCTGCATTCCCTCCTCCTCTTAGCACTACCCTTTACCTCATTGCCACGTGCCTTCATGACTGTCTCGCCACTGCTCGCGACCACTTCTTCAGTCAACACCCAGGTGACCTCACCCTTACTGCCTTTGTCAGCACCCTGTTTGCAATAGAGACCCGCCAGCGCACTATCGTTCAGTCTAGTGGTATTGCGCCGGCCTGTATCTTCCATGGTTGTGCTCCCTCCCAGTGCACTTACTATGATGTTACTGCTGCTGTCGTTGAGATAGCCCCTGCTGCTAAGACCGCCGCTACGGCGGCCTCCGCGCAGCCTCATAAGGGTAAGGGCCGCCGCCCCGAGGGGGGGCGTGGCGGAGGGAGGGGTGGTGGGGTTGGCGGTGGTGGAGCGAGTGCCGGCGGTACCGACGAGGGGATGGGGGCTGATCCCCGAGAGCAGTAGCAATCGCAGTCGCAGCAGCAGCAGCAGTAGTCGCAGCCGATGCAGCAGTAGCTGTGGCACCGTCTCCCTCTGGGGTGGCCTCGCACCTCTGATTGTGGTGGCCGTGGTGGCGGCCCTCGTAGCTCGGAGTCGGGTAGTAGCTTTAGCTCTGTGGGTTGCCAGTACCAGCTCCAGACTGGCCCCCTTCGCGGCACTATGTGTGGCCGTCCAGTCACACTGCGGCCTACTGTTTCCGCCGCCTTGACGACCTCTTCCGTCTCTGTTTCGGCCTTGCCCCAGACCTCCCCGACTAGCCCTCTCTGGTACGCGGCCGTGTGCCGGACTTTGAGATGGACATGGATAAGATTTTCTCTGCGTTGTATGCCATGTCTGTTGATGACTCTAGCATGACCGGATCTTATTACGCTATGTTGCCTAGTGTAGGTGTGCCTCCTGTGTGTAGTCTAGGCTCCCCTACTGCGTCACGCGTAGGACCTTCTGTCTTGTTTAGCCTCGGCTTAATGCTAGCCCCTCCGCCGGCTGCCACTACCGCTTTGCTCTCTTTAACGCTTGATTCTAGTGCAACTGCTAGCTTCTTTCATGACCACACTGCGCTCACGTCGCTTGCCGCTCCTGCTGCTATCGCGCTTGTTGACCCATCCTTAGGTCCGGTCGATGCCAGTAGCTCCACCACCCTTCCATGTCCGGCGGTTCGCTCAGGCTCTCTTACAGGCCTGCAAATCCCCTCGTTCTCCAGGAACCTAGCTGGTGTCGGCTGTCTTCAGGACCTCGGCATCACCACTACGTTCCCCGGACAGGAGTGGAACATAGTCTGTACCGAGGCCGCCACAGGTGTCCCCCTGACCACGTTCCCCCGGGACCCGGTGTCTGGCCTGTTTACACTTGACACCGTGTCCCCCTCGGTGAGGGCGTTCCACTAGGTGCCTGCGTCTACCCAGGTCGCTGTGGCTTGCTCGTGTCGGTCGCTCACTCACCCGTCGCTTCTGTGGCACCACCGCCTAGGTCACCCTGCACTCCCGCGTCTGCGTCACATGTCCCAGCACGGTCTTGTCTTAGGTCTCCCTAGGTCGCTCCCTGCCCTCCCTTCCTCGCCTGCGCCGCCATGCATGCTGTGAGAGTACGACCCCGCTACGCTCCATCTTTCTCATTCCCACCTCATTCTTCTTTCATCTCATCTCTTTTGGTTCCCTATTTCTCATTTTCCATTATCCTTTGATTTATCCTATTATTATATCACTGACCAGGCAGGCTCGGGATGTACTGGTGCGCAATATCTAGCGTAGCCTTCCTTAATCGTTTAAAGCCAATAGCCTCGCGTGGCTATACACAGGGTGATTCTATTTCTAGAAGGGTCTATTCCCTTTGGATAGGATACACCTGGTTACCTGATGTACTATGGAAGTATAAAAGCGCCTTGTATCCATCGATAGTGCAACCTTTCCTCGACACATTCAATCCTGTCACACTTGGTAATCAGAGCTTTTCTCACTCGGCCGCGCTCAGCAAAGCAACAGCAGTGGGAAAACCGCCGGTGGCGACTAATTCGGCGCCGATTCTGGTAAGCACCAGCTCCGCGTGTTTTGAGTTAACCCCTCCGCGCGTGTTTTGAACAGGATGGCGATCTTCGACAATGCTGAGGTTACCCAGCAGCTCTTCGCGCGCATCGCCACCCTACAAAAGGAGATGCGAGCTGACCGTGAAGCTTGGCGAAACGAGTTCGAGCGAGTAACTCGACTCGCCGGCGTGCAGCACGAGACGAAAACGGCAACGACGCAGCAGTCGCAACAGTTTCTCGAGGCTCCGAAGCCACGCCCACCTGAGCTGTTCGATCCAAGCGATCGAAACTCCGACGTCCACACATGGATCGCCAGCATGGAGATCTACTTCGCAGCCGTCGGATGGAGCTCGCCAGTCTTGGACAGTCAACACGTACGACTCGCGGCGACACTGATGCAAGGGCCGGCACTCGAGTGGATCGGCGGCAACAGTACTATCATCCACAGCGAAGCCACGTGGGAGCAGTTCTGCACCGACCTACTGAAACGTTTTGAGCCGATAAATTCTGGTTTCCTTGCCCGGGAAAAAAATCACAGCCATCGACAATTCTGGAGTGTAGCTCAGTCTACGCAGCAGATGGAAGAATTTTATAACCGCATTCCCTACCTGACTGAAGGGGAAAAAGTGCAGCCGTATCTCGCCGGGCTGAAGACCGAAGTCAAACGACAAGTAGCAGCGACAAATTACGCGAGCTACAGTGACGTCGTATCAGCAGCGGAGCGATTTGACATGGTCAACGCTGGGACACGACGGGCGCACGTTGGCAGTGTGCGACAGGGCGACCGCTTGGCTCACCCCACGTTCGCCGACCCGATGGAAATTGACAGGTTCGATGGGCGGCCACGTCCAAAAACACCAACTTCACGTGTGATTTTTGCAGCGTGCCGGGCCATCGAATCTTTGACTACAACAAAATGAAAGCCACACGTGCACAGTATCGGGCACGCAACAGTAGCGGAAACTATTCGGCCAATTAGTAGACAAAAAACGGGAATCGCCAGTGATTGCGGATCTAGCTGGCGAAAAAGAAAAGATCCGGAAACGATTGCGGGGGTTCCAGAAAAATCAACTTCAACGAAGCTGATTCGACGCGAGTAGGAGGAAATGATGGGGGAAAATCTCCACCCCACGACCAGTCTTCGCTAGGGAAAATCGCCAAGGAAAAATTAGACTCGGCAAAAAAAGATTCTGCCGAGACGGGTAAACTCCTAGAAGACCCAAGGAGTTATAAGGGTTCGTTAAAGTTATCTTATAAAGATGCTTTAATGAAAACTTATGATTCTCGAGGGGCCAGAGCCTTGAAGAAATTTTGGGAGGGTCTCCAAAAGAAGCAGAAAATTGTGGAGATCGTACCGCTACCGGAAAACTTGGGGAAAAAAATGAAGGAGTGTGGAAAGAAGTCGACCTTTCCACGGAGTCAACGTCCTCTCCCGACACCAGCCCACAACGACTACCCGCTCCCCAGGGAAGACTTTGGTGGAGCTGAAGCAGCTCAAGAGGAAGCTGGGGGGTCTACAAGAAGCTGCAAAAACCTCGAACTCCTCCTTCGGACGCATACTTCGGCATCAACGACGCACACAGTCGTCATAGAGACTCCGGGTCCTGGAGAAGCGCTTTTCTCCAAGCAGCCTCGGGCAGCTGCCAGCCCAGGAGAAAATAGCAACTAGAAGGTGTGTATGGAATATTGGGATGTACCCTATGATCCTATCAATGAAACAGTCTTTGGGTACTCCGACCAGCGCCTGCCCTTCGTGCTCGAGGTCATCTGCAAAGGGCAATGCCTCCAAGCACTTGTGGACTGCGGAGCGTCACACACCGTATGCGACAAGGCAACAATCGACCGACTCCGAGAAGAATACAAGCCTTCAGCATTCTCTGCAGCAAGCTCCCAGTGTACAGCGAAGCAGTGTTACACCTACAAATTGGACCACTGCGCTGGAGACCTGCACTCCCCATCACCAACATAAAAGGGCTTGACTTGATCTTCGGGCGAGACTTCCTTAAAAGGTTCAACCCCGAGATCAACTAGGTAAACCGTACTACAAGCATCTACAACAAAGGAAGGAGAGTTCCGCTACCCAACTGGGACGATACACGAGATATCCCTGTGGAGACACTCACGAGATTCGAGAAGGAGGTGAAACAAACCGGCACCAGGTTCCTGGCGATAGCAACAGATGTGGACGATGACGGGGAGAAAACGTCGAAACCTTCGGAAGAGATCAAGGAATAACTGAAGGAGTTCCAAGACATTCTTCCCGACGACCTTCCAAACGAGCTACCACCATACCTAACACATCAACACGAGATCGTGGAGGAACCAAGTTCGAAACTGACCTTCCGAGCACCATATCGGCTCAGCCCCATAGAGCTGGCCGACATAAAGAAATAGATCGAGTATCTCCTCGCCAAAGGACTCATCCGACCATCCACTTTGCCATACGGCGCCCCAGAGCTCTTCACACCGAATCCGGACAGAAGCCTGCGCATGTGCATCGATTACCGATCTCTCAACAAGCAGACCATCAAGAAAAAATACCTGATTCCACGGATTGATGACTTGCTTGACCAGCTTCGCGGAGCGACGGTATTTTCCAAACTAGACCTGCAGTCCGGATACTGGGAGATAAGAATGGCGGACAACTCCATCCACAAAACTGCCTTCCAAACTCGGTACGGGTCGTACGAGTATATGGTAATGCCGTCCGGACTCACCAACGCACCGGCAACGTTCCAAGCCGAAATGAACCACATCCTATGCCCACTCTTAGACGAGTGTGTGGTGGTGTACCTGGACAACATCCTCATCTACTCGCGCGACATGAAGCAGCACGTCGTTCCTCTACGACATGTCTTCGACATTCTTCGACAAGAACAATTCTACCTCAAATTGTCCAAGAGCGAACTTGCCCTCACAAAAGTCCAATTCCTAGGACACATGGTGAGCGCTCAAGGAGTTCACGTCGACCCCAAGAAAATCGAAGCCGTACATGCGTGGAAGATGCCGGAGAATGTGAAGGAGTTACAGCAGTTCCTAGGCTTTGCTAACTATTACATTAGGTTCGTGCCTCAGTACGCAAAAATTGCGACACCACTCACGAATCTGCTGAAGAAGAACACGCCCTATACATGGGAAACAAGGCACCAGGGAGCTGTGGAGCAGCTGAAACAAGCATCCACGTCCGCGCCTGTACTCATCTTGCCAGACCCCGAACGCGACTACGTCATCGAAGCTGACGCTAGTGACCAGGCAGTGGGGGCAGTCATGATGCAAGAGTAGGGGAACCAATCGTCTACCTCAGCAAGAAATTATATGGGGCAGGGCTAAACTACCTGATACACGACAAGGAGGCCCTTGCTATTGTCATTGCCTTCAAGACTTGGAGGTGTTACCTCGAAGGACAAAAAACAACGGTCTACACCGACCACTGCAGCTTGAAATATTTGAAGACACAACCAAACCTCTCCAGGCGGCAGGTCCGGTGGATCGACTTCCTCAAGACGCACTTCCACTACGACATCGTGTACAAGCGTGGATACAAAAACAAAGCAGACGCTCTTAGCCGCCTACACACATGGTTGCTATCCATGTCGATGGGATAAACCCACTACTTGAGGGACTCTTCACACACGGGTACACCATTGACCCCGAAATTCCCTTGGCAGAAAGGCGACACCTGCTACAGTGGGACAGTGACATCACCTACCGGAAAGGATCAACAAAAATCTGGGTTCCTAATTACGCTCCTTTGCGCCAGTTACTACTCGAAGAATGCCATGATGTCCTATATGAGGGACACTTTGCAAGCAGCAAGACACTCACCGGTATTGCAAAACACTACTACTGGCCCCACATGGCAGCTGACGTACAGAAGTTTGTCACCTCGTCTGAAATGTGCCAGCGGATGAAGAGCAGCATGCAGAAAAAGGCAGGACTGCTCCAGCCGCTTCCTGTCCCAGAACAACCATGGTAAGTGGTGAGCCTAGACTTCATCACCGGGTTACCAACTACCACAAGCGGTCATGATGCAATCCTCGTCATCATCGAGAAATTCTCAAAAATGGGACACTTCATCCTGACACACGCAACAGCACGCACTAAGGAGACAGCACAACTATTTGTGCGCTACATGATCTCACAGCACGGCATCCCAACTACACTCATCTCCGACCGAGACCCCAAGTTCACCAGCAAGTTTTGGAAAGAACTGATGTCTCTGCTCGGGACCAAACTCGCCATGTCATCCGCCTACCATCCGCAGACCGACGGACAGACCGAGCGTCTCAACCAAATTGTGGAGCAACTCCTCCACGCAGCTTGCAAGGACGAGATCTCTAAATGGGACTTACATCCACCCGTTCTGGAGTTTGCCTACAATAACGCCACTCACGCCGCTACTGGATAGACGCCGTTCTTCCTCTGTTATGGACACAACCCACTCATGCCACAGAAACCAACAGTATCAGCCACAGTCCAACCCGCACACGACTTCATCGCGACCATGCACCAGCTTTGGGATCGGACCTACAAGCGCCTCCTCGACATTCAGCAGCAACAAAAGCGCTAGGCCGATCGCCATCGCAACGACCACACCATCACCGTGGGAGATCTGGTGCTCCTCGACACCCCCCATCTCGACATCCGTCATCTCCCATCCAAACTGCGACCTCGTTTCTGCGGACCCTTTCTCGTCGAAGCACAGGTCACTCCTGTTACCTTCCGCTTACACCTGCCAGCCACTTGGAAGATTCACAATGCCTTCCATGTCTGCCTCTTGAGGCCCTACAGAGATCCTAACACGATCTTTACCTGCTGCCAACCACCGCCCGTCCTCGTCCACGATAAGCCCAAGTACGAGGTCGAGTCCGTGCTTGCCCATCGCCGTCGTCAGAATGGCGTCGTGGAGCTTCTCATTCGTTGGAAGGGTTATGATCCTTTTCAGGATAGCTGGGTTCTTAAATATGCGATGGATCCCGCTCGTCGTCCTCTTCTCGACTACCTTGTCAAGCAGGGTGTTACTTGTACCACCCAGCTTTGAGGGGGGGAAGTGTGAGAGTACCTTACCGCTACGCTCCATCTTTCTCATTCTCACCTCATTCTTCTTTTGGTTTCCTATTTCTCATTTTCCTTTATCCTTTGGTTTATCCTGTTATTATATCACCGACCACGCTCGGGATGTACTGGCGCGCTATATCTAGCGTAATCCTGCCGTAATCCCTTAAAGCCAATAGCCTTGCGTGGCTATACGCAGAGTGATTCTATTTCTAGAAGGGTGTATTCTCTTTGGATAGGATAAACCTGGTTACCTGATGTACTCTGGAAGTACAGTGGCGGAATAAATTGCCCGGATGTTTAACACTTTGAAACGTATCGCTATGTCACACATGTTTCGAAAATAGTAACACCCGTTTTTTGCCATTCCGTTACAAGGTTTTCGCGTTCTGCTTCAACCGTTTCTTGCTTGGCGCGATTGTGACACAACCGGAAAGTGGGTTTGAAATTTACTCTTTGACTATCGATGCGGACATTTCCTACCGAGCGGAAGAGTAGATCTATTTTCCCCCGTCACTCGGTGTGTACATCGTCACGCGCAATAGTTGCTGGCTTAGGAGTTAGTCCGGAAGCGAGCCTACGACCGCATCGCCATGAAGCCGTTAAATGAGCGGAAGTGCGCGCGAATCATAAGCATGTTGCGTGCGGAACATTCGACTAGGAAAATAGGCAAAGTTCTTGGCATAGGCAAGGGCACCGTGCACGCTTACGCTTTGAAAGTGGCTGCCGAGACTAGTCTCGAGGAGGTGCGACCTACGATGCCTTCGGCCGGCCGGCCCCGCTTAATCACTACCCATCTCCAGCGCGGAATAATACGCGCAATTACAAGCGGCGAGGCGAAAAGCTCTGTAGACGCGGCAAATATGTTGTTGGAGAAGCACGATCTCGCCGTAGACTCGAAGACGGTCAGGAACTCATTACGATCCGCGGGGCTGATCGCCGTGCATGAGCCCAAGAAACCCAGGCTCTCGCCGAAAAACATCCGAGATCGTCTCGACTTCGCGCGGTCGCATGCCGACTAGACGCTGGAGGACTGGAAGCGGGTGATTTGGTCTGACGAGAAGAAGATAAACCGCTACTGCTCCGACGGACGTGCGTACGCCTGGATTCACGAGCGTGTATCTTAACGCTCTTAAGGTATGGATTCACGGTCCTGTAATGGTCCTCAATCAGTGCTCTAACTAATATTCTCAGCGTGTATGCACACCATACCTTAAGGCTTAATGTATACACCGCTGCACTCATCAAAATGCCAAAAAAGGCTGAACATGTGGACAATTTATTCCGCCACTGTATATAAGCGCCCTTGTATCCATGGATAGCGCAACCATTCCTCGACACATTCGATCGTGTGACACATGCCCTGCGTCGAGGGCCGGCTGCACCGTGCTCCTCACTCCTCCTCGCTTCCCCCTACCAGTGCGCCACTCCAGACCCTGCAATTAGACATCTGAGGCCTAGCCTTCGTCCCTGGGCCGTGGCGGGAGCGCTACTTTCTAGTGCTTGTTGATGACTACATGCACTACACCATGGTGTTTCCCTTGGAGCAGAAGGTCGATGGGCCTGACGCTCTTATCCCGTTGGTCGTAGCTGCAAGCTCCTTGTGCTGTGTCTTCACCACGACCGTGGCGGCGAGTTTGCATCCGGTCGTCTTGGCCAAATCTGTCGTGCGGAGGGCATCACCCAGTCGTACACCTTGCCGGACTCCCCGCAGCAGAATGGGGTCGCCGAGCGACGCATCGGCTTGGTCATGGAGGTGGCTCATACCTCCATGATCCATGCCGATGCACCCCATTTTCTGTGGCTGTTCATTGTTCACTACGCCGCTCACCAGCTTAACCTGTGGCCACACTCCCAGCGGCCGCAGGTTTCGTTGACCCTCCTCTGGACCAGGTCCCCTGGTGAAGCGTCCGCGTTCCACGTCTGGGGCTGCCTTGCTCACGTTCGTGCTTCTGGCATGGACAAGCTCATTGCCCGCACTGTCCCTTGTGTCTTCCTTGGCTTCCCGCTAGACTCGTCTGACTGGCACTTTTACCACCCCCCGTCTCACCGTTTCTTTCACTCCTACGACGTCACTTTTGACGAGTCTGTCTCCTTCTACCACCGCCTTCCCCACCGAGGTCTCCTGCTTACCCCGCCCCTGTTCCTGGTCTCCACTCCCCCGGTAACTCTTGCCCCGCTCCCTTCCCGTCCTGCCTCGTCTGGTGTGACTCACGTCACTCCCTTCCTGTCGGTTGTTCCGGTAGAGGAGTCGGCTGACTCTGGGAGCCCTGCGGCTTCAGTTTTGCCGCCTATCTCTGCCCCGATGTCTCCTCCTTTGCCACCGTCGCAGCCATAGCAGCAGCCGCAATCGCCGCCGCAGTAGCTGCAGTCGCTGCAGGGGTCTGCGATCTCTGGGGGCGCGGGAGTTGAGGAGGGTCCTAGACAGTGACGTTCTGGAGGACTGGCAGTAGGAGCTTGCTTTCCTGTCCTAGGCTTCCCTCCTCTCTGCTCCATGCTGCTAGTCGCTGAGGGTGACCTAGACGCCCTTGACATCCCGACCCCTTGCACTTATGCTGAGGCAACCTCAGGGCCGTGGGCCTCTAAGTGGATACCTGCCATGGACGCGGAGATGGCATCTTGGAGATCCACCGGCACCTACGTCAAAGTAGTTCCCCACTCGGGGTGAACGTAGTCGATGGTCGGTGGCTCTTCAAGGTGAAGCGCTCGACCTGGACCGCCGCGGGTGTTCAATCAGCGCGAGGGGGTTGATTTCTTTCAGACCTTCGCCCCGACCCCGAATATGACCACACTTCGGGCGCTGCTACACGTAGCAGTACAACGTGACTACGAGCTGCACTCCCTCGACTTCTCTACAGCGTTTTCAGGGCAGTCTGCACGAGCTGGTCTACCTGCGCCATCCGCCAGGCTTCACAGGCACCTTCGCCCTTGGACCGAGTGGCTCCTCCAGCGCCCGGTTTACGGCCTGCCGCAGGCGCCCTACGAGTGGCACGACACACTGCATGCTACGTTAGATGACCTGCACTATTTTCCGTCCTTTGGAGACCCTTCGCTCTTCGTTCGCTCAGTCTAGACTCTGTTTTGCATCCTTGATTACGTAGACGACCTGGTCTTTGCTAGTGCAGACAGAGACGTACTGGCCTCCGTGAAGGTTGAGCTGCTAAGGTGACACACTTGCACTGACCTACAAGAGCTGCGCCGCTAACTTGGCCTGCAGTTCTCCAGGGACAGAGCAGCGCACACCATCACTCT